TATATATATATATATATATATATATATATAAATTTTCATCATCTATTATCTCCATTTAAGTTCGATACATGTAATCTTCGTATCAATCAAAAACAAAATAGATAATAAATTAAATAAATAAAAACAATAGTATAAATGTTAGTGTTAAATAATCTTACCTTCATTTGAGTACGCTTGTTTTGGAACCAAAATTTCACTTGCAAAGGCTCTAACCCTAATCTTTTTCCTAATTCTTTTCTTTGTTTATCATCTGGATGAGGGCACTCTTTAAAAAACCTGAAAAAAAATTTAGAAAAATATATCTTGTTATTTTATTGTAAAATATTCAAACAAAGTACTATTATCTCATATTTGTTTAGATAATATTCTAAAAGTATAAAGAATTTTTTACATAATCAATTTGTCTATAAAATACAACAACAATCTACTAGTAGAAAAAAATTAGTAGGTGTTTGGATATAGATTTAGCTTAAATTTGAAAAAATAAAATTATATATTCAAACAGTTTTGAACTGACGATATATAAAAGTTATATATGTATAAAAGAGTACTTACGATTCCATTTCTTGAATTTGTAATTGTGTATGACGATGATAACGTTTCTTTTTGTTTGGACGTTGATTAGGATCAACTTCTTGATCATCATCACAAGGGTTATTTTCCATAATATCTGCCATTGATTTGCTCTCAAATTCATCATTATCTCTAAGTAAATCCAAATCATTTTCTGGTGATTTATGTGACATATCAAGTAAATGATGGTGGCTCTCAAACATATTTGGCTGAAACATTTTTCACTTCTAAATATAAAAAATATACATATATATATATATATATCCTTTTCTTGATAAGCTATGAGTTTGTAACCTGTCATAAAAATAAAAATAAAATTGTAAGTACATTAATTAATTAAATACATTATATAAATGTGGATTATAATTTTTTTTAAAAAAACTTGGGATAAATGAAGATTGACAAAACCTACTTGAGTTCCTTTTTTCGAGTTTTATGATACGTGTAACTTAAAGTAGCATATCAGAACTCACAACGTCTAAATTTTGGATATGTCGTCGAATAGATGATGGTTGCTCTTATCAAATATGTTTGGCTCAAACATTTTTCACTTGTAAGTGTTTATAATAATATCCTTCTTGCTAAGCTATGGTTTTGTTACCTGCAAAAACAAAACAAAAAATTGTAACATTTTAATTACAAACTTATAATGTTTAAGTTCTGGATCTCATTTCGAAAATAAACTCTGAATACTAGATATGATTAATTAACATAAAAGAATATGGTGAGTTAGTCAAGTCTCTCAAGGAAACCCTAGAAAGACTTCTCCTTTTTATATTTTGTTAGTTTTTTTTTTTAAAAAAAAACAAATGGGAAAATTTGACTTTTGGTTTTCTATATGTCAAACAAAAAGACTTTTTTTTCCCTCTCTCTATTATGTCTGTTTAGATATGCCAAAAAAAGGACTGAAAATTATAAATTTTTAGGAAAAAAAATAGAGAAAGAAAGTTGACACTCTTGAGGACCCAAAGTCAAAAAAATGTCTTTCCCACCCCCATACTTATGTTATTATCTTCACACAACGTCCACGAATATTTCTATATAGTACTTCAACTTTAGCCATAATTTTAGTTCTACAAAAAAAAATTAGTAGTCAAGATAAATAAGTGTTTGGACATAAAAAAAAATTAATCATATATATAAATTTGATAAGTGTATTTGAAAGTTGTAATTTGATATGCATTTAATATTTTCTTTTAATTCATCTTTCAAAAAAAAAAAGTCCAAGTTATGAACATGTATGATGTTTAGTATTTATTTGGTTTGAAGAAAAAAGTATGGACAAACTATAAAGCATATTTAGAGCAATTTTTTGAACTAAATATAACTTAGTAATTTCTCAAATTAAAAGAAAGAAAGAAGAAAACATGAAAGTATATAATACTCACAATTTTTGAAGCCTTGCAAGTGAAAGTATTATAAGAACACAAAACCCTCTTGAAGTTTTTAGGGTTTAGATCTAACTTTTTAACCAAAAAAAAAAGTTGGTAGTAAACTAAAAAACCACTTTTTTTTTAATGTGTGAATAGAATTTTAAGAAGAATATTTCTTGAGGGAAAAAGGAAGAACAAAGAAAGGGAGATAAGAATATGGGAGGAAAAAACAAAGGGAAGAAAATAGAGAGATAAGAAGAAATGTGTGAAACAAAGAGGAGTTAATGTAGAGTGCATATAGAAGATGCAAATAGCATTTAATGGCGGGAGAGAAAGAGGTGATGGTGTTAATGATATTGTTGAAGAGAGAGAAACAAGAGAGAGGGGAGAAGTGTATGTATGTTCGATATTTGTATTGGGGTCGGACTAAATTTACGAGGCGCAATCCAAACATATATTATTTTTAATAATTTTAGGGACTCGAATTCAAGATGTCTGGTTATATAGGTCAGAGGGATCTCAATCGTTCACTATAACAAAAGAAACAATTAGTGGCCATAGATATTTTTAGCAACAATATTTATTATCGTAAAAATACTTAATGACGATTGAGTTAACATTATTATATTTAATATCGCTAAATCATTTAACGAGATTTTTGTAGAGTAAAGATTATAAATATTCATATTTATTGTTATCGCTAATAATTTGGATTTTTTTTTATTTGTTATATTGATCTCACGCAGTTCATGTTAGTGTATGTTCAAATTTCTTGTATATATACAGAAAGTCAAAAACAATTTATTTATCTTTTTTTATGTATTTTGATGTAGGTTAGATAGTCGTAGGGGCTCAAACCCAATAACTATATTCCCAATTCTTGAATATGATGTGATGAAATAACTAATTAACTTATTCTGATTATTTTCTGAGAGAGACAAATTCAGAATTTAAAAGTTAGGGGTGCCATATCATCTAAATGGTAAACGAATCGACTTTTTATTTTAAGTTATAATTCGGATTATTTAATTTTTTCGATATTTATAAATATATCAATCAAATATACATTTTTAGTACTGTTTTTTTAAATATAAATATTCTAATATTAAAAATATACACCTAGTGTTTCTTTTTATGTTTGTTTAGGAATAAAAGACCTTATTCTTTATAACTTTGAGAAAACAAGAGATTTTCACCTTAAAATTCAAATTTGTATACATCATCTAATATCATATAATTGAGAGAGAAAAAATCATAGTTTCAATCCAATTATCTCCACTTAGTGTGAGACAAAAAATTTAAAGAACCTTTACATTCAAAAGGTTTAATAATATCCATCATTTTAAAAGTTTTTTTTTAAAAGGCTATTTAAGTATTTTTTACTAATATCCTATGTGACGTTCAAAATTTATTATTAATATATAATTAATATAAAATATCACGGGACACTAGTATTAATTAAAAATAAGTAAATAAGAACGAAGTAGTAAATAAAGGAACTAATTGAGGGGAGTGAAACTAAAAAAAAGAATAGTGTTTTCATAGAGATTTAAACCTTCGATGCCCTGCTTGAAAGATGCACCCTTTGCCAACGGCACCATTCAACGTATGGTTCACTGGGTGGCATATATATTATATATACGATTTGTTATACTCATACATACACATATATATATATATATATATATATATATATATATAT